AGTCCAGAGATCACCACCAGGGAGGCACAGTAGCCTCATGGTTAGGCCCAAGAGTCCCATCAACAGGGTTCAAATCCTGGTTCTGACACTTCCCAGATGTGTGGCCTTGGGTGAGTGGACTAAGCACTGTGAGCCTCAGCCTCCTCATCTGCACAATGGGTAGCCTTCTCCTCCCGTGTCAGGGCCTCATGCCCCAGCAACAACCTGGAGATTCTTCCGAGAGCTTCCCTTTTACTTCATTATCATTTAACATGGGATCTGTATCAAACTCATGAAAATTATGTGTTCAACTCCAAAATTAGGTTTGTTTTAAGCAAAACCTGGGGCCTTCTGAGAGTTTGGGGTGTGGATGGGCTGTTAGTCTGCTCTGCCAGCCCCTCTCCCCAGGATGCAGCTCCACTCCGCTCTGCAGTTCAGGGTTCCGCCAGGACCAGTTCTTATTTACCAACTTCCCACCACATACTTGGCGCTTTGCACCTATCTCGTTTCACCCTCATGCAACAACCAATTATCCTCATTTTACAGAGCAGAAATCAGATTCAGAGAGGCTAAGTAACTTGTTTGAGGACACACAAGAAAGAGCTAAGCCTCAGACCCGAGTCTGTCTGACACCAGAGTCCTTGCCTGCCCACCATTGTAGAAAGACCCAGAAGCTGCTGTTTTGCTCTGAGTTCTCCAAGGAGCCCCTGATGGGGAACATTTGCTCACTGATGTGTATCAGTGGCCCAGCACCAACCAGAGGGAGCCGTCCTAGCCAAGGGGGCCAAGCAGAGCGAATCCATCACCTCCACCCACTCCCGCCCCCCGCAGGGGAATGCCTGCCAGTTACCAGCAGGACTTCCTGCGGGCTTTTGGAGGATGCAGCCTGGGCAGGACTTCCCCTTGCCAGATAATGTCCTGGCTGTTTCAGTTCTCTCGCTTGCTGGGAATTGCTCTGAGCAGAGTTACTAAGAACACAGGGGCCATGAACACCTTTCTCATGCCCACCCCTTCTCCCATGCCAGGGCTGGGGCTGTGGGCATAGCCCTCCTCTCACTGAGGCACGGTTGCCAGGGGCAGTAGGGAGAGGGTGTCCCATCCCCAAGGGAGGAAAACCAAGACCCAGAGAGGGGCTAGGACTAACCAAGTTCACACACCTGGGGATAGCAAAGCCTCCTGCCAGGCTTCTGCCTAGTGCCCACTGCCCTTCTGTGCTGGTGGGCAGGAACACCTGAGTATCATCGAGACTGGAAGGCAGTGTATGTGGGGAGCCCTGAGGAGGAGGCCTTCTCCCATGGTTCAGAGACGTGCAGTTGGCGGTCTGGCCTGGGGAGACTGATGCGCAGAGAAGAACGGCTCTGGAACATGGCCAGCCACCTTCCACTCTGCAGGCTCAGTCCCAGGTGACTTTGCAGCCTTTGAAACACCTCAGAGTGGCCATTTGAGCTTCTGGTTATCCCTCCATCCATCAGGGAGGTACAGCTGTCTGTACTCAGAGAGGGAATGGTGCCAGCAAGAGCCCTGGGATCTACCTAGCTGCCCAGACTGTACATGGCTTCTCTCCCTCGCCAGCCAGTCAGCATGCCTGAAATGCTGCATTAGACCACTGAATACAGGGAGAACACCATGTCGGGATGACGGCGGAGACCAGGGTGATACTCTACAAGCCAAGGAAGGCCAATGATAGCCAACAAATCACCAGAAGCTAGGGGAGAGGCATGGAACAGATTCTCTCTCACACATCCCTCAGGAGGAGCCAGCCTTGGTGAAACCATCTTGAACTTCTAGCCTCCGGAACTGTGAGACAATAAATTTCTGTTGTTTAAGCCCCCTGGTTTGTGGTACTTTGTTACAGCAGACCTGGGAAACTAACACACCCGTCAGTCCTTCTCTGCAGAGATAATTCAACATTCTGACCTCTTTTACCACAGGCTAGTTTTGCCCCTTCTTGTATTTCTTATAAATGGAATCAAACAGGCTATATCCTTTGTGCCTGGTTTCTTTGCTCTACATAATGGTTTTGAGATTCATCTACATTGTTGCATATCATTAGTTCATTCTCCTTTTTATTGCTGTGTAGTGTTTCACTGTAGACATATTATATGATTTGTTTATCCATTTTCCTGTTGGACATTTAGGTTGCTTCCAGTTTTGGGTTAATAGAATAGAACTGCTATAACTTTCTTGCACAGGTCTCTTCATGGACAAGCATTGTGAGGTTGTCTCTTGCTGGGCATTGCTCTGAGCAGAGTTATGTCCGTTTTTTTCTCTTGTTTTTTGGCAGTTGGTCTGGTAGCTTAGCATGCCTGGTAATTTTTTAATTAATTATGGAACATTGTTAATGAAAAATTGTAGAGGCTCTGTATGATGTTAACTTTGTCTGGCAAGGATTGCTTTTTCTTCTAGAAGCCATTTAGAGAAGAGAGACTGAGATCATCTGAGGCTGGCTGTCAGCCTTCTTAAGGCCAGGTCTAATTTGGTTTGCCCTTAGTCCCCATGGACCCTGAGAGTCATCTGAAAGCCTGGGATGATTGACAGGCCCCTCTTCCTGGCTGGCCTGAATTTCAGTTCCCGTCTCCCCAGCACCCTCACAGCTAAGAGCTCTGCTCAGCTTCTTACTTTGGAGCCCTTGCTTTCACTTGGTCCTCAGCCTCTCATTCCACCTGCTTTGAAACCAGCAGACATCTGGAAGGTGGAACAGAAAGATGAGTTCACTTCTCTGTGGTTCTCTTTTATCTGGGCACTTGGTCTCTCAAGTCCTGAGCTCCAGTTTGCATCTCCCCTGTCCTATGACACCCCTGAGAGTCTCAGCTGCCACTTTCTGCTCAGCCTCTGGGCCCATGTTGCTTTGGAACTGGCAAATGGCCCACAAGGAAGAAACCTGTTGGGCTTAAATTAACGGGTCTTTCTTCTTTCTCAGGTCTTAACCTTCAAGTCCTATCTGCCTTGTTGCTCTCCGATGCCTTCGAACAGATTTTTTTTTTTTAACCCAACTTTTAGAGTTGTTCTTTGTGGGAAGGTTGGTCTGTTGTAACCTGTTCCATAGCTGGAGCTGAAATCTGATCATCAATTATTTGTGTCCACTCCCATTTGTTGAGTGCTCTGTGTGCCAGACACCATACCTAAACTGCATAATGCTTTTTCTTTTTTTGTCTGAATCCTCACAATGGTCCTTTGAGGTAGATGCTAGTACTATTCCCATTTCACAGAAAATCTGAGGGTCAGAGAGGTGAAAAGATTTGCCCAGGATCAGGTAGTCACAAAAAAATCTAGAATTTGAATCCAGATACAGCCGACACCAAAGCCAACCTTTAACTGCCAGGCCACCAACTTCTCTAGTTTAGCCCTGAGATTAAGAGTTGGCTCTAAGGCCTTCTTCCTCCAGAAAGCCCTCTGCACACACTCCTCAGGCCTCTCCCATCCCTGCCTTTCTGTTGCAATAACTGTTCGTGCCAAGGCTGCCTGGGCTCCCCGTGGGAGTGCTCACATCCTGTGCATGACCCTGATGGTGCACTTCCTTCAGGGGCTCTCACACACGCCTGGCACAGCTCAGTGCATGTTGGAGCTCTGAGAGATAGTGGTGAAGATGGAACACAGGGAGGCCGCTTGTGGCTAGTTCGTGATTGACTCCAGGGGCAGATATAGTTCCTGTCTCTGGGGGAGCTGGTTTCCTGGGGGAGCCTCAGTGGTGGGGCAGGCATGGATGGCTGACGGTTTTCAGAGTTCTCTGTTTTTCTTCCTTAGTTACAAGCAACCAACTAGAGTTTAAAATCTGAGAATGAAGGAAGCAGGCTAGGGGTCCAGAATAGTATAGTACCCAGAGGGGCCTATCTTCCAGGGTGTGGTGTGCTGAGACCTCAGGGGCCCCGAGGGTCACCCACAAGGGGTGCGTAAGCAGTGGGCCTGGGAGCAGTGAGGCAGATCAGGGAGGTACCTGCTGACTGACAGGAGTGGCCTGGCCTGCACCACTCACCTGTGTACCCTCCAAGAGTCCCCATGAAAGCCAGGGTTGGACGGGAGAAAGAGGAAGGATCATGCTGTTGTTCTGGGGCCTTAGGCCGGGCACTGCCCCTCCCGGGGCCTCAGTTGCCCCTGTATAAGCTGGGCACCTGTCTCTTGCCAGTGTGGCAGGTTGGTGTGTACAATGAAGGCAATAGGAACACACTGGTGAACTATGAAGAGCTGCGCCATGTGAAGGGTCAGCACCATTGTGACACTGGGTCACCTCCAGGATGGCCCGAGCCATGATGCTGGGCAAGCATCCATCTTGATCTCTTCCAGACTGTCCTCGGAGGCCAGCAGAGCCCGGGAGGAGGAGTATAGCAGGTGTCCTCAGCTGTCCTCCTGCAGGGGAGGCCACCCTCTGAGTGGCTGTTTTATCCCTTCCCATGAGGCCCCACGTTCTCCTGAGACACTCAGTGGACTTCTCTGTTGCCCACAGCCCCCTCAGCCGTACCAAGTCCAACCATAATGGTCTCCACACTGTCCCTCTGTCCAAAGGGCTCCTTTCTTCTTTATTTTTCTTTTTTCTCTCCCCAAAGCCCCAGTACATAGTTGTATATCCTAGTTGCAAGTCCTTCTAGTTCTTCTATGTGGGACACTGCCACAGCATGGCTTGATGAACAGTGTGTAGGTCCATGCCCAGGATTCGAACTGGTGAACCCCAGGCTGCCAAAGCAGAGTGCACAAACCCAACGGCTATGTCACGAAGCAGAGTGCATGAATCCCTGAGGCTCCCTTTTCTAACTGGCCTGGGATGCCTTTGCCCCTACTGATGGGCAGGAGAGAAGAAGGACTTGGCTGATACCCTGGACACAGATCTCAGGATCCCTGGGGACAGACGGGACAGTAGAGACTGGCAGAGTTGAAACCCACCTGTCAGGGCCTGTCCCAGCAGGAGTCCAGGCTGGGGTTTCTCAACCTCTCAGCACAAGGGTTGCACTTCTGCAATGGGAAATCACACTGTTTTTCTTTCCTTTTTAAAGGGAAAAAGGAAGAAAGCACCAAGCTGATAAGCACTCTGACACATCACATCCTCAAACCTCAGCTGTGATCATCATCCCCAGACCCGCCCCGGCCTGGAACCACTCCCTCCCGAGAGCTCACAGCTGCAGCATCAGAGCCAGATGTGCCACTGGCAGTAAGGTAAGTGGAGGTCAGAGGGGCTTGAATCCACAGTGAGGGGAGCAGGCCTGGCGGGGCCGGGAGAAGGGCCCCTGCTGGCTCCCGCCAGGTGCACACCCCAGAATGTCTTCCTCCATCTCATCCTGGAGGTGGTGTTGGTAGGGCTGGGTTTCTACTTCCCCAGATCAGCTAGGGTCCTAGAGGCACAAGACGGCCTCCTCAGGAGCTCGACTCTGGCGGGGGTCTCTGTCAGCTCTGGAGGGCTCAGTGGAGCAGAGAGAAAGGTTATATGAGCAGTGGTGAACCTTTATTTCTGAGGGAGTCTCTTAGGGTCCCTGGGCCATAGGATTTGTTCCTAGAAGTGAACTCTGAGTTTCTGGCCGGGCCTGAGGCCTTGGAGGCCTGGCCCAGCTGTCCTGGGCCCAGCTTATATCACACACTTCAGGAAAAGGCTTTCTGGAAGCTGGGGCCAGAAGGGGGTTGTGGAGGGAGGCAGGCGTGTGTCTGTGTGTCAGGAAAAGGGGGTGTCCTGAGGGGCCCACCCCTCACCATCAGAATGGAAGGTCCTCACCATTTGCCTACTTCATCCAAAAGGCAGGAGGGGTAGAGGGCCTGGGCAATGGGGCACAGGGCAGCGTGGCAGCTTAGATCGGAAGCCTCAGGGGAGACAGGAGAGGAGCTCAGGAAAGACAGGACAAGGACCATGTAATGTGAAGATGGACTGAACGGGGGTTGGCCAGGTGCCCGGGGCGGGGGAGTCTCCCTGTTGTGGGGGTGAGAGGGCAGAGAAAGGAAAAGAGCTTCATAGATGAGGTCGAATTTGAACCAGGCCTTTGAAGATGAGCAGTATTTGGACACAGAGTTTGGGATGGAGGATGCGTTCTTAGCAGAGAAAATAGTGTAAGTAAAAGCCTGGTGCTTTTTTACATTAGTGCATGTGTCACTTGATGGGGTTTCATTCTGGGAAATGTGTCTGTTTGGTGATTTTGTCGTTGTGCGAACATTACAGAGAGTACTTACACAAACCTAGATGCTATAACCTACTATGCACCAGGTAATACGGTGTAGCCTATTGCTCCCAGGCTACAACCCTGTCCAGCAGGTTACTGTACTGAATACTGCAGGCAACTGTAACACAGTGGTAAGTATTTGTGTAGCCAAACATACTTGAACATAGAAAAGATGCAGTAAAAATACAGTATAAAGGATAAAAAGTGGTACACCCTCACAGGGCACTTACCAGGAATGGAGCTTGCAGGACTGGAGGCTGCTCTGGGGGAGTCAGTGAGTGAGTGGAGTGAACGTGCAGGCCGAGGACATCACTGTGCACACTGCAGACTTTATAAACACTGTTCACTTAGGCTACGCTACGTTTATTTTAAAGACGTTTCTTTCTTCAATAATAAATTAACCTTAGCTTACCGTAACTTTTTTACTTTGTAAACTTTTTTTTTTACCTTTTTGACTCTTTCGTAATAACACAGCTAAAACACAAACACATTGTACAGCTGTAGAAAACATTTTCTCTCTTTATATCCTAATTCTATAAGTTTCTTATTTTTAATTTTTTTTTTTACTTTTTAAACTGTTTCATTAAAAACAAAGACACATAGGGGCCAGCCCAGTGGCATAGTGATTGAGTTCACGTGCTCCACTTCGGTGGTCCGGGGTTTTTGGGTTCAGATCCTGGGCACACACCTAGCACTGCTTGTCAAGCCATGCTGTGGCAGCATCCCACATAAAGTAGAGGAAGATTGGCACAGATGTTACCTCAGGGCCAATCTTCCTTACAAAAAAAAAAACAAAAACAAAAACAAGAACAAAAACAAAAAAACTAAGACACAAACAAATGCATTTGGCTAGGCCTACATAGGGTCAGGATTGTCAATATCACTGTCCTCCACCTTCACACTTTGTCCCACTGGAAGGCCTTCCAGGACAATAACATGCACAGAGCTGTCATCTCCTATAACAATGCCTTTTTCTGGAGTAGCTCCATTATAATCTTATGGGGCCACCGTCACATATACAGTCCATTTTTTACTGAAATGTCATTATGTGGTGCATGACTGTAATTAGTTATTCAAATCCACTCAGTCCTGTTGAAGGTTGTTCCTGTAGAAGCTGGTGGCAGGTCCTGGGCCACATGGGGTTGGTGGATGTGGCAGAGAGTTTATGCTCCTCAAACCCCCAGGAACAAAGCTGACTGTTACAAGTAGCCTTCCCACATGTGCAAATGAGATTCTAAAGGACAGATTGTTGATATAGTTGCTGGGACAAAAGATGTGTGCATTTCCCACTGGGGCAGATATGGCCAGTTGCCCTCCCAGGAGCCCTTGTCAGTCCTTGAGTGAGATCTCAGCCCCTTCCACCTCCTTCATCAGGACCTGTCTTCTCTCCCAGACAGAGGATGGCATGCTCACGGCATTCACGCCCATAAACCACTGGGCATGGTGCCAGGCTCATAGGAAGCACTTGGAATGTGCTAGCTGTTTTTGTTCTTCCTCTGGGTCTCCAGGCAGCCTTCCTGACCCCCAGGAGCAGGCTGGGCTTCCCTCTTCTATGTCCCTCCATAACACCTGGTGCTAGAAGCACCTGTCTCCTCCACCAGCTGGGTGCCCTGGAGAGCAAGGGCTTGTCCTCCTGTTGCATCTGCTTATCCTCAGCAGCTGGCCAGTGCCTGGTTCAGAGCAGAGCTCAGCAAGGGTTTGTTGTGTGACTGTCAGATACAAGGAAGGTGTATTCTGTCTGTCCTTCTCTTCCCATGAAGCAGAGCCAGATTGTCCTCAAATGACAATAGACCACCAAAACCCCACCCCCAAGCTGGTATGCCTTATACCTTGCACAGACAAGGACAGACATATCTAAATTACAAAAACTAAAATTCAGAGAGGGTGGGTGGCATGTCCTACTCGCAGAGTGTGACTGTGATGAAGCTGGGACTAGAACCAGTGGGCCTGATCTTCCACTCCAATTCCAGCCTTCGCTCCATCCTTGCTTAAGCAGAATGACTGCATCCCCAGTCAGTGCTTGGCTCTGTTTGGCTGGAGGTGGGCAGTGGTCCCTGAGATGGGCCAGCATGTCTGGGCTCAGGAAGTCAGAGGTGTGTCTGGCTCTAACCACACCTGTGTGTCTGTATTCCCTCCTTCCCAGGGTCCCATCCATGGAGAGGCCCCTCACGGTCTTGCGAGTGAGCCTGCACCACCCCACACAGGGCCCGGCTGCTTTCACCAATGTCCCACTGCAGCTGCAGCACGACACCAGCCCGCTGCTGGTGGGGCGAGGCCGGGATGCCCACATCCAGCTGCGGCTCCCCAACCTCTCCCGCCGACACCTGTCCCTGGAGCCCTACCGGGAGAAGGGCAGCGCTCTGCTGGTCTTCTGCCTCAAGGCCCTGAGCCGCAGGGGCTGTGTATGGGTCAATGGGCTGACCCTGAGGTTCCTAGAGCAGGTCCCCCTGAGCACCGTCAACAGGGTCACCTTCGCCGGCATCCAGATGGTGGTCCACGTAGAGGGAGGCACGTCCCTGGAGGCCTTTGTCTGCTGCTTCCATCTCAGCCCCTCGCCCCTGATTTACAGGCCCCAAGCTGAGGAGACGGACGAATGGGAGAGCATCCCCCAGGAGCAGCCTCCCCCAGGTTCAGGAGAGCGAGCGCTGGGTCACCTGGGCTTTCTCCATGGCCCTTCCCAGATTCAGGACGACCCTCCTCAGCCAAGCCCTGGAGGAGGAACAGAAATACAGTTCCAGAGGGAACCCCCAGACAGCCTGCTCTGCTAGCACCACCGGCCGCCAAGGGCAAGCGTCAGCTGAAACAGGCCCTGGAATATTCGAGCTCCATCATGTGAGGTTGACAAGCGAGGCCTGCCTGGCTAATAATGAACCGATTCTGCAAACACGAATAGGTTGGGGTGGGGGGGAGCAACCTCCATGGTTACAGCTATGCAAGGTAACAGGAACTTCATATACTTTTAGAGGCCCTGAGGGGTTCTCCGACCCTCTCTCAGGCTTTCCCCACATTTCCCCCTCTTGTCTGAGTAGGAGTTACTTTATGTTGCTAATTTTGTGTGCTGCTTAAGAGCTGGAGCTTGAGGTTGCCCCAGGAATGCATGGACACATGTAACAATTACGTTTGTGGTAGCTCCAGGTTACCTTCGACTTTCAAATACCCACAGGCACTTGAGGCTTAGGGAAGCCTGCATTTAATAAACTGCAAGTATTTCATTAAGCTGGCATGCCCAATAGGATTCCCTGATCCCCAGATGGGCTGCATGCATGCCACGTTGTCATGCAGAGCTGGGGGTGGGAAATATGGAAGAGGTGTAAGAGGAAATTGGAAAGGTGGGGCTCACATTTCTGGAAAGGACACAGGCAAAGCTCAGGGCTTCCTGAGGATGGGGAACTGGGGGCTGGGCCTGCCTGGAAATTCATTGTCACCATCATCCTCTTCATCTTCACACTATACCCCTCTCTGTCGTTTCTGGATCTAAGCTTTGGCTGACCAGAGGGCAAAGGTCTTCAGGGAAAGGTGGCTTCCCAGAGCAGTGGGCTCTTTCAGGACTAATACTATGAAACAGTGGGGTGGAGGTGTGTTAGAATTCAGCCCAGCAGTTCTTTCACTCAGAGGGGGTCATATACCAATGGCCGTGGGGTGGTCTTTCCTGATAGGAGACTAGGAGGGGACCAGGCAGGCAAGGGTGGGATAATTTTCTCGGTGAACAGGGGAGCAGAGCACAAGCAGCCACTCTCCAAGCCATCCTGGGGGCATGTGGGAGGCAGATTTGGGGTGGGCAGTCAGGAGTGGGTCTTATCCTGTTCTTTACTCCAGAAGGCCCAGTATTCAGGGTTTGAAGAACGGGAGACACTGTCAGGGCTGGCGAGCAGAAGACGCCATGCATGGTGTGGTCTGATAAAGCCCACCGCTTTGGAACTGCCTTTATTTTTCACACAGACATTCTAAATGCAGCAATGATCCCTCCACAGACCAAAGTGTTCCCCAGACTATGCATTAGGGTGCAGCAGCCCACATACAGAACTGAAAAGCCACAGTCTGGAGACCACCTGAACACCAAAGGCTGAAGAGAGGAAGTTGGCTGGTGGCCCCTCAAAGTCCCAGGGTGCAGCTCCCCAACTCCACTAGGGAACCTCTGCCACTGAGGGAGGGTCCTCTCCCCGCCAGGAAGGAACAAACCCATCCCAGGAGGGAGTCTATGAGAGGGAGCAGTCTGCCTCCTCCACGGGGGAATCTGCGACTTGGGGTGAAGTGTCTGTGAGGCCCTCTGGGACCCAGGATGAAATGCACTGCAGGCTGAAGGATGACGGGCCAGAGACAGGACAGGAGGGAGCCAAGACACAGCCAGGTGTTGTTTCAGACTATCCGCTCACGCATCTTCTTGGGAAACTCACTGCTTGCCTTGTACCAAGTTTCAAGACAGCGAAGATCCACTCCACACTAGGGTCCATTTTTCTTGAGTAGGGAACCATTTAAATCACCAGATCCCTCACACCCACCCCCATTCTCACCTAGAGGTTGGAATAATCAGTTTACTTTCATGGCCCTGGTCTACACATTTGATCTCACCTTCCTTTGCACAGACATCCTGAGCAGGTCGGTGAATCCCTCCCAACAATGTCGTCCGCCTTCTCTCAGCTCCCACACACAGGGAAGCCCACGTGATTGAGGGGAAGCACATGCATACACGTGTGGACACATACACACAACACACATGTGCTGTGGTGGCTCCAAGCTGGGGCTCTGCAGTCAGAGTGCTGCCTGGGTTCGAATTCTCGCTCTACTACTAGTGCTGTGATGTCGGACAAGTGACTGAATCTCCCTGTGCCTCAGTTTCTTCTTCTGGAAAACAAGAAAGATGACAGCTTGGTGAAGGTAGAATGAGGCACCACATCTAAAGCACCTAGGCAGCGCCTGGCCCGCAGTAAGTGCTTGGTAGGGTTAGCTTTTCTCATCCAATTCAAGGGAATGAATTGAATGTATGTGGCACATGGACTCAGCTGGCCCCCCCACCCCCCGCACACACACACCCCTGCTACAAAGAGCTACATCAATTACATTCCGACAGTGTTGGAAATCTAGGAATCATCCCCTGTGTCCTTTAAGGCATTTTAACCCTCACATTCCTCTGCTTTGCCAAGAGTAGGAGTCTTTCCAACCTGTCTGTAAATAAGACACCAAGTTCCCTCAAGTCCTGTGTTGAGGGAGACACGAGAATGCCCCAAAAATGCACCATGAGGATGCAATGGCAGATGCATCAGACAGGGCAATCTTGGCTGTAGCCTAGAGCAAGGAGGGCCACAGCTGAGCATGGGCAGTCCCACAGGGCACGTCAGCATGCTGTGACCACAGTTTCTGTCTGTTTCCCCCGAAGAGCTCAAGCTCCATGCAGAGAAGACCACGGATTGTTCACTGCTTTGTTCTTGATGGCCACTACGGAGCTGGGCAGAGGATGGATGGACAGACAGATGGGCACGGGTGCTCAGGGAAGCAGTCACCCTCACTCTGCTAAGGTATGAGCCAGGCATCCCTGGGCAGTCGAGGGCAGGGCCAAGGCCTGCAGTGGCGGGACAAGAAGCAGGCCAGCCAGCTGGGGCAGAAAGGCCTCAAAGCCATGGGCAGACAGCAGATAAAGGTGAATATCGCTCACCTGTTCTAGGCCCCAGTGAGGGCAACCCAGACCCTCTGGCTGTGGCAGAACAAGGCTGGTGCTTCTGCCTAGTTCTTGAGCCTCTGCAGCCCAAACTCAACCAAAACTCTGAGTTTTTGGAATTCTGTGTGATGACTACTAAGGAAAGTTGACCAAGTTGACAAGGCCCCACATCACTGAGAGAAAGCTCTCAGCCAGCACTTCCCACCCCAAACAGAGGTACATCAGCTGCCCCCAGGAGACCCTTGAAGGGCTGCAAGCAGCAGCAGTCAGGGGCTGAGCTGGCTGGGCTGATTCTGGGCCACGCAGATCCCCTCTCCCAAAGACGCGAGGAACACTGCCTCCTGGAATCAAGCCTCCGCCCACCCGGAGCACAGCTTTCTCCTAAAGAGACTGTACAAGAGGCTAAGACATCACCCCGCTGGATGCATTTGCATGTTCAAAGAAAACATTGGAGACGGCAGTGAGTACCCTGAAAGAGTGAGTTTCCTTGTAGAAAAAGTGGCATTAAATACTGCATGATTTCACTCATGTGTGGAAGATAAACAAACACATGGATGAAGAGAACAGATTACTGGTTACCAGAAGGAAAGGGGGCTGAGGGATGGGTGAATGGGGTAAAGGGGCACATACGTACGGTGATGAATAAAAATTAGACTACTAGTAGTGAGCACGATGCAATCTATACAGAAATTGATAAACAATAATGTACACCTGAAATTACACAATGTTATAAACCACTATGATCTCAATAAAATAATTGAAAAAGTGCATAAAAATTTTGATTAATAAAAACTAAACTCACATACAAAGAAAAGGTTTCACAGCAGGCCAATAAAGAAAACATTTCCCTTCCCCTCTAATGCACGGCTGCTGCATAAGTGCGGAAAGCCAGACGTAGTCAAGGGGCTGGCTCAAGGTCTCCCTGTGGCTAACTGAAGCTGAGACGGGAACTGAGGACTGACTCTTTCCACAACAGCCCACTTAGCGGCCAGGCTGCAGTCGATGTGCAGAAGTAAGTCAGCCCCATGCAGTGTGGACGGTTCATCACCACCTCCAGGCCCTCCTCCCACCCCCACACTGAGCTGCAGGCTGGGAGACCTTCCTTCCAGTGGATCTACTGTGTGAGCCTGGTTCTCAAGCTCTGCTCTGTGTCCTCTTCTTCCTGGGCTTCCACAACCATGGTGCCTGGTGGTGCTGATGTGGCCATGCGGAGCCGGATCCTCCAGCTTCCCTTCACTGCAGCAGCTCTACCTGCGCTCCAGGCTCCAGTCACTCGCCACCGCACTGTTCCTAGAAGCCCGTGCAAGGCTTTGGGGCGAGGAGTAAACAAACCCAGCTCCTCCACCTTTAAGAGGAGATGCCCAAGCTAATGAACTCGATTCGCCTTGCAGGGCTGGGATCCCTCTTACCTTGAACATGAACTCACAGGCGGATTAAAGTGAAATAAAACCTACCATTTGAGTTACATTCTCAGCTGATTGGAAACATGCATTACCTCCCCATGACCGGGCCGTGAGAAGGGAAGTTATTATCTTTCTTTAGAGTTTGTAAACTCTTTATGGCTGAGGCAGCTTTAATCCTGATGGGGGAAAAAATGATCCAGGAATAGATTGCTCTCATTTACCTTTGTTTTCCAATCACATGCTCCAGTGGGAACAAAACATCCTAAGTGAGGGGATGTGGGGAGCCAGGTGATCCCAGACAGAAGAGTTCAATTATTTTCTTCTTTAGGCACATGAGTTGAAAGGCCTTTAAAATGCTGTTTGGCAAGAGGGTTGCTTCACAAAAATGTGCACTCCCACAACGACGCCGGCACTCCTGCGCCGTTACCGCTCTCTGCCGTTTCTTTCTGGGGGAACACAGCCTCCATTTCCCCACAATGCCACGGTGCCCAGCTCCAGACATTTGGAAACAACCAGGAAGGAGTCTGAGAAAGGATAGATTTGAATCAAAATCAAATCACAGTCCGGGAAGGAGGGAGAGACCGTGAGGTCTGGGGTTCTGGAGGGGGCTTCCTTTCCTCCTCTGTTGTTTCTCTGATCCTCTCTGTGTTACTTAATACACAGCTTACACAGAGCAGGTACTGAGCAAAACCATCAGGAGGCACCAGGCTCTGAGCCAAGCATTCTAACTGCTGGAAGGAGCCCCAGCTGAGATGTCTGCCTCACTTCCCTTCAAAGATGCAGAGGCAGGGGGTAGGGGGTTGGGAATCTTCAGAATAAAGCTGAGACAGGGATGCTCAGTCGGCGGCCAGCCACAGGGCTTCCATAATCACTTCTCCGAGGGATTGGGACAGGATATCACTCTTCCACTCATAAGCAGCTTGTGCAGATGGGCTGAGAAGAGGGACCTTATTAGGTCATCTCACTTGGGGAAGACGGGAGAAGGGGATGGGGGAGAGTGTATCAGTCAGGAAAACAAAAACCACTCTATTTCAAAAATTTACTTCAGGGAATTGGGTACACAGGTGATGCAATTCAGAGATCAGCAAGAACAGGAAGTTGCTACCTCTGCTTGCTGCCAGCCCTGGGCCTGCAGGGGCAACTGAGAGAGGCCGTGTTACCAGAGGCAGAGCAGTCACTGTGCTGCCCAGAGCTAGAACTACCATCACTGTGGAGTTTCCCTGCAGAAGCCAGGACCTCGGAGGCAGAGGCATCCAGGGGAACTGGAGCCAAAGAGGAGATGCAGTGGCTGCCTGACACTCTCCCGGAGATGCTGAGAGAGAGGGCGAAATATCCTGGCTTCTCCCCTTTCCCACCCCACCGTGGCTCCCATTGGCTGAAGGCAGCCAGAAGGCAGCTGACAAGGGAGCCTAGGAAATGCAGCCTCAGGGTAGACTCCCCAGCAGTACAGAGCAGAGGCAGGAAGAGAGCGATGGATCTGAAGGCAAACAGTCAAAGTCAGCATAGGGACATGCCCACTTCAACGCCCCTCAGCCCTTGCCTGGGGCCCTGGGGTGGCCACCAAAATGGAGAGGGGGCCTACAGTGCAAAGGGCTTCACCACCTGGGGGCTTCCTGGAGGCAATAGGCAAACACAGATCCCCCACTACCATCCCTCCAAACTCTGTGACCTTTGACCTCTGTAAGAAAGGAAAGAGGAAGGCACAAAAGGATAAGTGCAATCCAGGAAAGAGTGAGGCGTGGCCTGGCCTGGCCCACACAATGCTGCTTGAAACCCCCTCCCCTCCCACCTCAGAGGCAGGGCGGCAGAGCAGGGTCCGAACCCCCACTGCACTCCACTTACTAATTCTGACACTCCCTTCATCACCCAAGCCACTTTTCCTCCTGTGTGAAATGTGGACATCGTCGCTGCCGACCTCACCTCTGTGAAGACTGAAACACACAACGTGTAAAGGAACGTAGCACGCACACCTCTGAAATAATCAACGCCAGCCATTAATGTTAACTGCCACCCATCCCCAGATGTTCCTCCCTCCAGAAGGCTTCCCTGACTTCCTCCACACAAGAGCCATCTCCCTCCCAGCTCCAAGCCAGTGTTGCAACACTCAGAGGAGTTTTCAAGCAGTGACCCACGGAACAAAAGGTATTTCCTCAGCTGGGAATATGTGTACTTGCTGTGCGCTCTGCGCCATGCCGGAACCTCCCCCAGCAGAGCCCCGGGAGTGGCAGAAACTGTCTTGGACATGTCTGATTGAGCAGCCACCCAGCACACAGTAAGTCCTCAGTAAAGGTCTATTGGCAGAATGACAAGAGAGGGAGCTGGGAGAAAGAATTTTGGTGGGGTGAAAGCAGACCATAGGGAATGAAGCTTTGAGCAGAATCTCAAACCACAACAAAGCTGCTTGTTAAAAGGTTAAAATGCACTTTAAAAAACAACTTATTACTCAGGATGAGAAGAGGCCAGAAGGAGTGGTTTGCTCAGTGAATGGACTCACTATATCCATAAAACGCTGAGCCCAGGAGCCAAGGATGCATCCCAGCAGGGTGGTGCGGGGCCCACATCCCTGATTCTTCTGCTCTCCGCCAAAAGGTTTTCCTGCTTCTAGATGAGTCCTGTCTCCATAGTGCAAGCCAACCGCCCAGCCCGTCACCACTCAGAAACACACGCACAAGGTGCAGGGCTCCCAACCTTGGAGCTCTGCCCCGCGAGCCCTGGAAGCCAGCAGGCTGGATGCTTGAAGTCGGGGGCTTCCAGACCAGCACTGGGCCTCATTACTGAGAACACGTGGTCCCCTGTGGACGCTTGTTGGAGGCCAAGGAGGGAAGCTAATAATCGGGGGGCTCCGTCTTTCAGTTTTATGTTCCTCTTCCCCTGGGCCTGCGGTTGCTGTGCAGATTTCAAGTTGAAACATCAGGAAAGCCTCACGTGGTCTGACTTCTCCTTCCCCGCTCCACTCCCCAACACATGCACACACATGCACACTCACACACGCCTGCCTCTGGGCTCTGTCATGCTCCCCAGGTAAAGTGTTGGTTGGAAAACCACAGGGTAATTATGAGCTGTGAGTTTTGCTCCTCAGTTAAAGCAAGAGAAAATACCTCCACTTGAGATCCTCAGCATGCTTTACAAACCAGAGTGAATGTTTTGGCTCAGCTCTGGGGAAGAACAGAAGCCAAGGAGAGACTTCATTAAGAGGAATGGTGGGGAGCATTCGGAGGAGGCCAGAGTGTTTTGGATAAAGAAATGCCAGACGCCCTGGACACCAGGTCCTGGGAATGCTGGCATAGCTAAGTCTGACGGAGAAAGCAGTGGGTTGAGAGGAAAACATCCAGCATGGCTACAAGACTCTGGGAAAGTCACCAAAATCTCCGCTAATTTCTACGATCTGGGATGTGCTGGTAAACATTTAATAACCAGCTCTCTGGTGGTGGGGGAATTCTGATTGTAGTGTTGGCCAATTTCTGATTTCCGTGGTGTAAATTCTCCCACCATGGTCAATTTCAAGGTGTCAAGATGACATCACTGAACTTAGAGTTGGAAACATGCACAGTGAGCACATCGTTATATAGCATTTCTACCAAACAGATACAATGTAGATAAATGATTTTAAGAGCACAGATATAGTAAAATAGAGTAAAATAATTAGGAAGCAGTGAGTTTTAGTTATTTATTAACTTTGTATTTATATGACTTCTTTAACTGTAAGTTCATACAATTTAATTTTTAATATAGTCCTGGGCAGAAAGAGGAAAAGAGCTTCATAGACGAGGTCACATTTGAACCGAGCCTTTGAAAATGAGCAGTTTTGGACAGTTTGGGATGGAGGATGAGTCCTTAGTAGGGAAAATAATGTAAACAAACCCTGGTGCTGAGAAAGTGTATACAGCCATGTGTCACTTAACGACGGGGATACGTTCTGGGAAACGTGTGGTCAGGTGATTTTACATTGTGTGTCGTGCAAACAGAGTGTACTGACACAAACCTAGATGGTGTAACCTACGATGCACCAGGTAATATGGTGTAGCCTATTGCTCCCAGGCTACAACCCTGTACAGCAGGTTACTGTATTGAATACTGCAGGCAACTGTAACACAGTGGTAAGTATTTGTGTAGCTAAACATGTTTGAACATAGAAAAGATACAGTAAACATACAGTATAAAGGATAAAAAGTGGTACACCCTCACAGGGCACTTACCAGGAATGGAGCTTGCAGGACTGGAGGCTGCTCTGGGGGAGTCAGTGAGTGAGGAATGAACGTGCAGGCCGAGGACATCACTGTGCACACTGCAGACTTTATAAACACTGTGCTCTTAGGCTATACTA